GAGGGTTCTAACACCAAGCCTGCCAAATAATTTTGCCTAAAGCCTTTCCTAGTCCCTGAGTTGTTGGACAAATAGAAGGAAAAATCTAGTAGATATCAGCAGAATGAAAATAGTTGAAGGAAGAGGTTAAGAAGTAAAGCAGAGGGGCAGCTAGGTGGTGCAGTGAATAGAGCTCTGGCCTTGGAATCAGGAGGACCTGAGTTCAAATTCAGCCTCAGACCAAACACTTGACACTTACTAGCTGTGTGACCCTGGGCAAGTCACTTAACCCCAATTGCCAAAAAATAATTAAAAAAAAGTAAAGTGGAAAATTCCATTTAACTGAAGATACTAACCCCTAGATTTAATTCAAAGCAAAGTAAGAAAAAGAAGATTTTGAAAGTTTTTAGTAAAATCAGCAGTTCTCAAACTTTTTAGTCTCGATATCCCATTATGCCCTTGAAAATTATTGAAGGCCTCAATGAGCTTTTGTTTATGTGGGTAATATCTATCGATATTAACCACATTTGAGATTTTAAAAGATAAAATTGTAAAATATTAATTAATTAAAATGTGAATGACAAATTATCGTATGTTAACAGAATGACATATTTTAATGAAAATAACTATATTTTCCAAAACAAAAAAAATTATTGAGAAGAATAGCATCGTTTACATGTTTTACAAATCTCTTTAATATCTGGCTTAATAGAAGACAACTGGATTCTCTTATCTACTTCTGCATTCAAACTGTTGTGATATGTTGTTTTGGTTGAAGTATATAAAGGAAATCTCACTTCACACAGATAGTTGAAAAAGAGAATGATAGCTTAATAGGCAGTCAGCTAGGTGGTGAAGTGGCTAGAGCACTGGATCTGGAGCCAGAAAGACTCCTCTTCATGAGTTCACTCACTAGTTGTGTGACCCTGGGCAAGTCATTTAATCCTGTTTGCCTCAGTTTCCTCATCTGTAAAATGTGCTAGAGAAGGAAATGGAAAACCTCTCCAATATTTTTGCCAAGAAAACTCCAAATGGGGTCACAAACAGACACAAATGAAAAATGACAATGAAATAACATCTTAATGGGCATTAATATCTTAGTGTTATTATGAAAATAGTCTTGACCTTGCAGATTCCTTGAAAGGCTCTCAAGGGGTCCATGAACTCCACTTTGAGAATGCTGTTTTATTTCCTGAAACCAGTCAGCAGTATTTATTGAGCACTCACTGTTTGTAGAGTTTTGTAATCAGGTGCTGTTGGATTTCCTCCCAACTGGTTATCTTTCCCCCTTGGACCTCACTTAGCACTTTGATTACCCTTTATTAGGCATTTATGCATTAGTCAAAAACAAACAGCAAATATTTATTAATTGCCTAATAAGTGCCAGTGCTGGGCTGGGTGATAGAGATATAAAGATTTAAAAAAAAAAACCCAGAACTATGATGTCCTTGTCCTCAAAGACCTTAGAGTCTATTGGTGTGTGTGTGTGTGTGTGTGTGTGTGTGTGTGTGTGT